TTACCAGTCGCTTATTTTTTAGTCCATGGAATGACGGGAGACCAAAAAGCAAATATTATAAAAACTATACTTACCAAATGTCACGAAGTAGGTGTTGATATTGTATCATTAACTTTTGATGGTCACTCCTCAAATATGTCGGCTATGAAGATCCTGGGTAGCGAATTGAATGACCATAGACGACTGAAAACCACATTTCAACACCCATGCGCTGACTATAAAGTACCAGTGTTTTTGGATTTCTGCCATATGCTGAAATTAATTCGAAATCATTTTCAATTGAAGGAAATCTTTTTGTACAAGAATGAGCAAATAATGTGGGAATATGTCAAAAAATTATCAAATCTCCAAGAACAAATTGGGCTTCATCTAGCGAATCGTTTGACCAAAAAACATATCGAATTCCGAAATTCTATAATGAATGTCAAATTGGCAACACAATTATTGAGCAGGAGTGTTTCTAAGGCAATACAATTTTGTCGACAAGAGCTGAAATTGTCTGGTTTTGAAGACAGCGAGGCGACAGAAAAATTCATAATGGCAATGAACGTTTTTGATGTTTTTAATTCCAGAAACTTACAAGCATATGGCTATAAACAGCCCTTGAGTCCAAAAAATAAAGATGAGTTATTTACAGTACTGGAAGAAGTTAATGATTTAATTTTGAGCCTATATTTGAAAGTCTCGAGAAAAAGAACTTACAAAGAACATGAAACAAAAAAGATAATAACTCTGAAGAGCTACACACCTGTACTGAAATCGAACTCTTTCACCGGATTTCTTGGAGTTCTAATTTGTATTAATAGTTTAAAATCGTTATATACAACTGTAATAGAATCACATAAAATGCAGTACTTATCCACATCGAATTATTTTTTGGAGCGATACGTATGCATGGTGGTTATAACGATAATCCAAATGCCCGACAATTGAAAGGTATATACAGAAAACTTTTGTGTCACATGGAGCTTAAATCTGCTGGTTCAGGAAATTGTGTGCCGCTAGAGAACATAAGTGTTTTGACGTGCTCTTCGGCACTCAAATGTATTAATTTAACTACTCCAGCAACAAGAAAAGATGATGAAGATGAGAGTGAAACGGCAGAAGAAAATATTTTGGATGAAAACGGAGGAAATGTATCTCGATTTTTAGATGATTCTTCATTATCTGAATATACACAACAGATAGTTGGTTACATTTCAGGTTGTGTTGTGAGATGTCTCCCTAGACAAATCAAATGTACTGCATGCATTGAATGTTTGTTTTCAAATGAAAAGCATGAATACCATAAGCTAGTTAGCGCACGGGATGAAGGCGGGTTGATTTATGCTTCAAGGGATGTATATTCTATATGTAAGACTTCGGAGACATCCGAAAGTTTCTTACACAAACATTTTATCTTGTATATTAAAATAATTTATTGGTCATAAAAATATTTATTTTTAAGTTGAAACTGAATATGCGTGTGGTTCTCTTCACCAAGTGAACCTAATAAGACTGGTCGCCGAAAAATATTTGACCATACGCTGCTATCATATAGCTAAATTAGATAATGTAAAAAGTGATGCAACCTCAAAACGCAAATTATTTAAAAAACTAATTTAAAGAGAGGGCCATTAACTTAGTAATTACAAACATTTAATTGTAAATAATGATAAGTTGAAAATAGAAGAGACTACTGTGTTCCTCGGGGTGACCTTAGATGAAAAGCTTCAATGGGACACCCATATATCAGCTCATGCTGGCACAACAATGCAGGACGGAATAATACTTCTTAAAAGGATCTACTAAACTGTAGAAACGCTATGGGATAAAATTTTACGGTAAGGGTACCTGCGGGATAAATTATTTAACTATGATGCAGGCGAAGCCGCCGGCCAACCTCTAGTATTTTTATAAGTCGATACCATATATTAAATAATAAAACATATTTTGTAAATGCGTAATTGATTTTTATTTGATTATATTTTTCTTTACAAAGAAAATTAGATTCTAACTCAACAGACAAGTAAACACACAATTGAAAGCACCATATTAAAATATTATAATTTATGATCTTATTAAAATGACAATTTTACAGTTTTTCCCCATTTTATCGGGTTACATTCATTAGCTGGTATCTCCCAGATACAAATGACGCTGGTGTAAGTCATAGTTATTTATTCCGTCACCATAGCAACCGCTAAGCGTGTGTGCGTGCTTCACGCACACACGCTTGTAAAAACTGGCCTGTTTTTGTTGCATCGCTCATTGCGTGATGCGTTATCTAGAGAGTAAATAATCTAAGCACGGGTGGTAATTTCTATACAAATATTCCTAGCCTTATTTCTACGGTCCTCAAAAGTTGACGTTGACAGCTATTGACTACAAATGAAATGTATAGCTACTATATATAGCTATTGTTTTAGGCTGATGTTTGTGTTGACTTTCCTGTTCACACCTCCGATAGGAGTAATAGTGTTCTGTGGTCCACACTTATAATTTGTTGACATAAAGGTGAATTGCTTAATAAATTCAAAGGATATGTTCGAGAACTTATATAATAATCAGTTGCATGTGTGCCACAGACACATTGAGCTACGATTTGTTATTTTGTATAAATCTCGTATTCACCAGGATCTAAGAGCAAAGTAACTGTCCTACCAGGATTTATATCTCACGGTTTTTACAGAAGCTGAAATCACGACTGGTCAGTAATTTTTCTATTTACTTTTCATTAATTTATTATTTTCAAATTAATTCATATGATTTTCTGGTCTTATCCCTTTCAATTTATAAATAAAATGAAACTCCATAATAATAACTACAAAAACACAAAACTAGTTAGTCATATATCCCTTCTTTTAGTGCCAAAACATTTGGTATTTCTTGTTTAATAGATGTTACCTATAAATAAGAAAAGAACAAGTCGTATTATCATTAACAGTGGTTACCACTTGAGAACCTTCCTTCTTCATCGATTGTCGGTTCTTTGAGCTATATTGCCGGTCCATTTCCACTGCAGATTATTAATCAGATATGTCACTTATTCTGGTTCTACTGCAAATAGGGTAGACTGACCATTATTGGCACTTCTGTGTCATTGTGTCATGTGTCACTTATTTAATAAGAATCCACCTAATCTCACGGTGTTGCAACTTATTTAAATAGAGTAGTAGAATTCTGAGCTACTAAACTAGCAACACATGAAAAAAAAGGAATGACAATGGCGCCGAAACTGACAACAGATGAACGTGTCTCGACTTGATCGGTGAAAATTATTTTTTTGCTAAGGTAAGAGCTTTCTTAATATCATTGAATCTTAGTGATCAAGTATTTATTATGCATGTTATGATTTAAAGCAAATTCAGTACGTATTATTCCACCTATTTGACCTTTTATATTTCCAAGAATTGCATTGTTTTTATTATTTCATCATAGTGCCAACATTTGGTATCCAAAAATGTCTATATTCTAATTTATTGGCAATACGACAAAATTGGTTTTTTAGAGTTGTTTTTTATAGGTATTTATTTTGTGCATTTATAGTAATATATTAGTAAACCACAATTTTTTGTATGATTGTTATATAAAAGTAAAAAAATACAATGGTTCCAAATCTTGGCCTCGTGCCAACCGCGGAATTACAAATTATTGACACTAGGGCCAATAATTAGGCACAAGTATGGTAATAATTGGTGTCATCTAGCCTACAATTTTATTTTCAGACTACGCGATTTATCTAAATATGAAACCAAAAAATAAAACTAAGAGCTCTAGAAAAACAACCAAAGATATACGCCGGCGTAAGAAATACAACTCAGAAAACTTAAACAAGACCCTACAAGCTGTCAAAGAAGGAATGAATAAGAAATTGGCAGCAAAGACCTATCAAGTGCCGCGGGCTACTTCGCAATATAGGATTAAGGATCCTGAGCACCAGTCGCGTCCAGGCCCTCCTACTATTTTGACGGAAAAGGAAGAAAAAGATCTCGAAAATTTGATTTTACTTAGTTGTAGAAAAGGTTTTCCAAAACACAAAGATGATTTAATCAGCACTGTATCGAACTTTCTGAAAAATAGTAACAGGGCCAGCGTTTTTAAGAACGGCGAAAAGTGGTATAAATTATTTCTTCAACGACACCCAAAAATTTCTGTACCCACACCTGAAGCAGTCACAGCAGCCAGTGCTGCTGTGTCAGAAAATGAGAGGCTGGTTCAGTCAAATTGAAAATTATCTTAAAGAAAACGTTTTATTAGATATACTCGCAGATTCCTCCCGAATATTTAATGGGGATGAGACCAACTTCCTTCTATGCCCCAAAACGGGAGTTGTATTGGCCCCGAAAGGCGAAAAAAATGTGTATGAGGTAGACAATGCGCTCGCCAAAACTTCCGTAACTGTAATGTTCACATTTTGTGCTGACGGAGATCTCACACCACCAATGGTTATATTTCCGAATAAGCGTCTATCAGCTGACATTACGTCCAAGGTTCCGTCAAATTGAGATATAGGGTTTAGCGACAACGGGTGGATGAAAGCCGAAGTCTTTCACTATTACATAGAGAGTGTATTACACCCTCACTTGATCAAAAAAGGCACTCGATTCCCCATAATATTGTTTGTCGACCGTCACAGGACCCACTTAACATTTGCTGTTAGTGAGCTATGCAAGAAATTGGAAATTGCCCTGATTGCATTATACCCCAACTGTACCAGATTACTACAGCCAGCTGATGTGTCAGCATTCAAGCCATTGAAATCTGATTGGCAGAAAACTGGAATTTTGGAGTGGAGGCGAAATAATCCATCTGTAGCTCTCACTAAGAACAATTTCGTACCGCTTCTAGACAAAACTATCAAACATATGATCTCGGCATCAACAGTTGTTAATGGATTTAGAGCTACAGGTCTTTGTCCATGGAATATGAACGCCGTGGACTATACAAAATGTTGTCTTGGGAAGGCAAGTATTCTGCAAGCAGAAACTTTTAATAAAACGACTGAAGTACCAAAAGCGATGACTAAAGAAAACTTTAAGAATATTATAGGAGCAAGCAAAATGAGTCAAATTGAACTAGGTGTACTTATACCGAACTATTTTCAAAAACTTTGGAACTTTTTCACGGAAGTGCAAAAGGATAGTAGAAATTTAAACAAAGACAATACTTCCAGTCAACAAGATGCGGATATGAAATTAGATGCAATGGATATTGAAAACATGGCAGTTATTTTAAGAGAAGACTTGAGAGAAGAGTTTTCTGATTGCGTACCTGCACCTGCCAGTTATTATAGTATATCGGAAAATTCACAAGAAGTTTTACATGTAACTTATAAAGCAGAAGTCTATGATGCTAAAACTAAAAATACGAGAATTTCAGTTTTGTCCCAATAATTTAAACACCCCATGAAAGCATTCGCACAATAACAAAGTTCCGAGTTTGACAAAATAGAAAATTATATTGATCCAGCACCTGTAAAGATTCAAAAACATTCTACTGCCATGTTAAACCTTACTCCCATTAAATTAACCGATGTCCTTGTATTGCCAAAATCTCCTCAACGAAAAGGCGTTAGAAACATTAAGACAGCGCCTTTTGTATTGACTTCTGATAAATTGAGATCTATAGAAAGCGAAAAACTCCGCGTAAAACAGGAAAAATAAGAAGGCATAAAAAGAAGAAAAGAAAGAGAAAAAAATAAATTAGATGCACAAACTAAGCAGACAAAACAAAGTACCAGCAGCTAAGTTGACGATTAAGAAGAAACACGAAAGAGTAAATGCAGACGTGAAGAAAATTGTGCTACCTGAAAAGTTGGATACCGCAGATATCTCATTGGTACCACCTGCAAATGTAGACTGTACACCGATTGAAAAACAAGAGGATAAGGAAAATTGCATCGACTATGCCAGTTTAATTCCTAAAAATAAGGATATTAAAAAAAAACAAGATGTATACACTGATGCTGAAATAGCGAAGTTTTTGACTGAATTTGATACCTCTGACTTTTAAGTTATTGATAGTTATAAGTGATAATTGATTTTTTCCTTTTCTAAAAGTTTACTGAATATTGATTTGATAATATATGAACCAAATGATTGATAAAGAGGTTGCATTGATTCTTTTGTTTTCATTTTTATGTGTTTAAGTAGGTAGCTGCATAAATAAAAGTGATTATAAGATAGGCTTTGTTACTTTGTCCTTGTCTTCTATAGACAATTTTCCTTTATTTACTGATTAATCAGAAATGACAATAAATGGACTAGGCCCATGCAGATAATTGGCCAAAGTATGCCAGTAATTAGGAAAATCGTGTTATTTGGTACAAATAAATAAAAATTTATAAAAGCGATAAAATAGTCGACTTCTTATTTATTTAAAACGAAAAATAACTCTTATGTTGTAATATCGATAAATTTGTAACACTCCATAAAGATAATTTTCACGATTTATGTGAAAGGTGATGCTTAAAGTGCCAATAATTGGGTACCTTACCCTACGCTCAGCAGCCTATCCTCAGTACAGCTCACTCCATAGCATTTTAAGAGACCTTGAGTTCTTGTTCCTTCCTTATATGTCCAGCAGTAAACCACATCTCAGATAAATGTGTCATTACTGTCAATGTACTGGTTGTATAACTTGTAGTTGCAATTAGTAAATAATGCAATACCTTACATAACCCACTATTGTAATGTTCCTCATTAATATGTCATTTTTATTTATAGGTATTCTGATGCCCATGATGCCATCTAATTTTCAAAATATTGAAATGATGAAGGTTGACACCTAAACAAATTTTGAGAGAAGTCGTACGAAGTCATACGATATTTGACTGAATATTTTGTGTGTTACACTCAATGACTTTTATTAGAAACGTATACAGTATTTTAAGTACATCATACATTATGATTTGTTATATTTACGCGAACACTACACATTGAATAAAACTACTTGTATAGATTTTGTCGCGTTTAATTCAGTTGATATTAATTCTCGACGTTTCGGTTGCTTTCCACCACCCATGTGCACGAATGGCTGAGGTGATTGACGTCCTAATGTCAGTGTTACCTACACCAGGTATCTACATTCAGCTTTTAAAATCTGGAAAGCACCTGAAATTCAATTAAAATCAACTGAATTAAATGAGATAAATACGTAAAGTAGTTTTATTAAATGATACATTTTAACCTAACACTTGCATAATCATTTTTACAATTTCTAAAGGCGTAAGATGGCATTTTGACTTTTAATAAATTGTTTTATTTCACTTGACATAACCAGTAACTAAATGGTATGTGACTGACTTGACTAAACACGTGACAATTCTCTTTCAAATGCATAAACATTTAAGGCGCATATTTTGAATCTACAAAGTGAGATTTTGTTTTTGGTCAGAATAGCATATTACCCCATATCAAATTCATGCAAATCTAGATAAACATAAAAGTATCTGGGAAAGAGTTTTTATATTTATACTGATATTTTGAGACATGCAGAAATGCTCATGCCATCTACTCGTATTTCTGGAACTGTTGAAAATAAGGAGGGTTGGCACACAAATATAGAGAAATATTTATTTACTTTTTTCACGCCTTTTTCTTATTATACAAACAAGCAAATTAAAATAGTCATTAAGATACACTGTTATGTACTCTATATTATCCTGTGTTGTAGTAGTTTATTAAAGATATTACCAAGGAAATCTTATGGATGTTCGACAGATTGCAGAATATCTAAAAATCTAACCATATCTAATATCTAAACTGGCGACGAAAAAATAAAATGTGAATGCTAATCTGCCAAGTACAATAATGGATTGTTTACAAGCTGATGTGAACTATTTTATTCATTTAATTGTGACCATTGAAAATTAACCATTATTAACTGATTGCATCTGAAAAATGCCTTTGCAATACTCACACAAATTTAAATAAAATGTTACCTATTATGTTTATCAACTCATTATTATTTTTTATAAATAAATTTTATTGTTGTTGCAGGTTAGAATAGATTGTAATTATAGAGGTTTCAAGGCAATATTTACAAGAAATTGATGTTTTGCGCCAAGGAAAGAATTTACTTGCACTTGTAAATTTATACTGAAATATAAAAATAAGACTTAATAAAAATTTTGGAAAAAAGTATTTAAACGTGTTTACCATCTATAACGCCACCGCACAGTAGTAAATTGATTTTATCATTAAAACCATCAATTATTTGTGAAACTTCTTGTGTCTGGTATCTGTAAACGAAAATAAGTATGTCGGAAAGTACAACACGATAAACCAATTGTGTGGGAAATAACAGGATAGCGTTAATTATTAAAAATGGTAAAAGTGTGAGAGCTAATGTTCAACTTTCTCTCTTGCTTGCGCAATTTATCATTATCAATAATAGAACAGCATAACGCACTATACATTCACCATAAAGTAATTACAATTTGACCATATCGCAGTATGTCCCCATCACAATTACACACCAGTGCAATGTAAAGGACACAATTACATTACAACACCAAATTATGCAAACCAACAGCAACCTTACCCATCTCAACATAACACAGCACAACCTTTTAGCAACACCATCCTCCTTGTCTGTACCGGAAGAATCACCACAATGGACAGAACAACGACTATCACAGCACGCGTAGAATGATAGCACTCGTGAAACGACTCAAGCGGAATTTCTCACGCTCTGCCCCCATACTGAACTTTATACTGCACAAACGAGTAGGAGGGTTTCTCGATATACCCTCAATTTCAACTACTAGATCCAACCGGCATTTTATAGATGTGCCTACACGGCCAACCCTGACATACGACCGTCCTCGGGCGTGCATCTTCCTGAATTCCTGTAACAAACACTTTTAATCTCCAATTTGTCCGCTTGTCTATCCTGACATGAATAGGATAGAATACACTGTTCATCATACCTTTGGACATTTACACACACAAATGCAAGGACGATTACGTTTTACCTCGTGAAAACTAACACTAGCTAAGGTTTCCTTCCGATCAGCCATCATTTCACATGACACCTAACTCCGAGAGTGACAGCATCCCTTCGATCAATCACCATATCATATGACAACATGGACCGGACAACTGGATCTTCCCACTAAACACACACAGATATACAGTTCTTTGTACAGCTTGTACGGTACTATAGGCGTCGATCGGGATGCCCGGAAGGTGGGGTTCTTTCATCATTCCTGTGGAATATGGCAATATTCACACAAAAACGAATGCTGAAAAACTATCATCTTCCAAGTCTTTTCAGCACAAAACTCCGGCTATCCTCCGAGGTAAAATACTTGGGTAAGATCTTGGACAGTAAACTTAAATGGTTTCACACTTTTACCATTTTTAATAATTAACGCTATCCTGTTATTTCCCACACAATTGGCTTATCGTGTTGTACTTTCCGATATCAGACACGGGATAAAGTTCTTCTTATCGTCCACATATAATCTTCGAATAGTTTAAGTGTTGTTACGTTTGTGAAAGACTATGCGTTTCACGTTGATGCCCTTTTTTAATGTTATCAGGATGTTTGGAAGGTCGATGCAAAGCCGTAAAGCGGAGCTAGTATAGACTATTTAGAACAATTTGAACCCAACTTGTCTTAGACGAAGTGCGACTATTTTATTTTTATCAAGCTTTAATGATTTTTCGTGACAAAACCCAAAATTTTGGAGTTAGTTGTAAAATGTGGCCAGTTTGAAAGACAAATCATTTACTTTTTATTTTATTTTATTAAAGTAATGTGTAAACAGTCTAATGTGACATGATTCAGGTATCTGTGTCATAAGTTTTTTTACAGATATTTAAAGTCAATGATTTATTTAAAGATTGAGGAAAGCTGTTATTTGACGGCATTAAAAATACGGATGGTGTTGCTATCGTTCAAACATTTTTAAAAACATGCCTGATTATTGTTCTTTCTTTTGTGGCATCAACTACGCAGATAGCTCACAAATTATTGAAATTGGGGGCTTATAAAACAAACTGAGGGAGAAAATTAAAAATATCAAGCAAGGCGATAAAAAGACATTAGTGCTTTAAAAAAATACTTTTAATGTTGGAAATGATTACATAACAGAGTTCAATTCTAAGTATTAATTGGCATTCGAAATAAAATTGAGGGGATTTCTACAAGGCCAACGTTTGGATAGATAGCAACCTTCTCAGGCAGAGCTAGTAATAAGCGAAGCTTAAATTACATTTCACAATAAAAACAACTTTATGGGTAAGACAATAGCGTCGTGTTTCCTTCGTCGTAACCACCTGTTTCTTTAAGGGACGCTAGTATACTTAGTCGAGTTACAACTACGTTTGTGACTGGACGTTATTTCCTTATTCGTGACAATTACCGTGTTCAGTTGTACTAGCCTTTTGCGCTCCTGCACGTGTTAACTTAGTTGAATTGTTTCAACGTGTCCAGTTGTAGCCTTAGCTACCTAGCTCCTGCACGTGTTCGTTTTGACTGTAAAATTTTTGTTTTAATTCGCGTCTACTCCGTTTTGTATTTGAGAAGTGACTATGACTTCTTTCTCGAACGAGGAATATGCTGATATGTTTTTATGTATGGGAGAGCGGACGGCAATGGATCTTTATCACGACGGATGTACCAAGAACGCTATCCTAATCGCAGAGTACCAAATGTGAGAGTATTTTACAACACATTTCGTCGGCTTGCTGAAGATGGGATACACCATGTGGAACATGGAGTCAATCCGGGTAGACATGATACTCACCTCGAGGAAGATATCTTGGCGGCATTTCAAGCTGATCCACATGCCAGCACTAGAAAAATAGCTCGTTATTTAAATATTTCTCATTGGAAGTTGTTTAATACAATGCACCAAAATAACAAGTACCCGTTTCATGGCACTGGTGTTCAAGGTCTTTAAGAGCGAATCCTCAGAGAAGGATTCAGTTTTGTCGTTTTCTTCTCAACGCAGATATTGAAGATGCATGATTCCTGAAATCAATCTTGTGGACAGATGAAAGTAAATTTTCCAGGGAAGGCATTACTAACTTCCATAACCTTCATCAATGGGCTGAGAAATTTAATAATCCACATTGGAAAAAGCGGAAGTCTTTTCAAAGGAAATTCTCGATCAACGTGTGGGCTGGAGTAATTGGCAGAACACTGATTGGGCCCCATATCTTATCAGATAATTTGGATGGCAACAATTATTTGGAATTCCTACAAAATGATCTTCCAGAGCTTGTAGAAGACTCCGGGGCCCCGGTATTCGCTACAAACCGAGAAATCATCTTTCAACAACATGGTTGTCCAGCGCATTGGAAATTAAATGTACGATTGCACTTAAATAATTGCTTCCCTAACAGCTGGATAGGCAGAGATGGGCCTATCCCTCGGCACGCCCGGTCACCCGACCTGACTCCACTGGACTTTTTGTGTGGGGTCGTGCCAAAGAACTAGTCCATACGAATGTGGAAATAAACACAAAATAAGAATTGACTGAAAGAATTAATTCAGCGTTTGAAACGATGAAACAGGAGATGAAGTTAAAAATAACAACAACAGAAGTGAGAAGACGGACCCAAGCTTATGTTAGGAACCGCGGCGAAAATGTTGAACATGAATAATAAATGATTTTAAACAAAATTTTGTTTTAATTATTTCGCCAATAAATTTTAATTTGTGAGCTATCCGCGTAGTTGATGCCTCAAAAGAAAGAACAATAATCAGGCATGTTTTTATTAATTTAATAATATTTGAACGAAAACAACACCATCCGTATTTTTTTAATGCCGCTTTCCTCAATCTTCAAAATTCCGCTTTTCTCAAATCTGCAAAAAAATTATCTCATGACACAGATGCCGGAATCATGTTACATTAGACTGTTTACACATTACTTTAATAAAATAAAAAGTAAATGATTTGTCTTTCAAACTGGCCACAATTTACAACTAACTCCAAAATTTTGGGTTTTGTCATCAGAAATCATTAAAGCTTGATAAAAATAAAATAGTCGCACTTCGTCTAAGACAAGTTGGGTTCAAATGGTTCTGAATTGTCTATACTAGCTCCGTTTTATGGCTTTGCATCGACTTTCCAAACATCCTGTAAAACGTAAAGAAATTTGGTGTTTCTATTTAAACACTGAAGTATCACTAAATATGGAGTAAAAAATTAAACAGAAGTGTTTTAAGCCGAACGTTAAATTTCTTTTGTTCGATTTATATCAAAAGTACCCGCAAGTACTTTTATAATTTATTAAAGTACCCAAATATGTTAACAAATGTTGAAAGTACAGTAGAAACTTAAGCTGCTCGAGTGATGTTATTATTTGATAGTTCATGCGAAATATGATTTACTTGGGGTACATTTTAAATCACGAAATGTTAAACGATGTACCAAAAAAAGTGTCTAACTTTAATGTGCTACTGATTAAAAGAATAAGTAGCTATTTGTGTTCAAATGTGCTGATAAGTGTTACAGTTTACGGGTTTACGGGATTAGTAGAAGTCGCTAATACGATGATCAATAAAGAAGATGTCCATAAGAGCCAGTGGACAGCGATAGTGATACGTTATCGATCCTATAATACTGTATCTGCTTACTCCAATACTCTCACCCTCAAAGATAATGTGTCAAATATGAGCGTATATACCAAGTTCAGGTGCATACGTGTAAGTAAATTTCTTATCTCACTGTGTTGTAGTTATTCGTATGCAAATCACGTGTTTCGTTTTACGTTCAAAAGATTGATACTATCGAAGGGGCTCAAGATGCCCAGATCCAATAAAATCATGGTGTGAAAGCTGGAGAGGAGAGCCTGGTGCGCTCCGTCTATGTTACATGCAGTAGTCGGTAATTGTGTTAAGGGATTCGAACGCCTATTATATATAAGTTGTACGTTAAGTCGAGAGGCGGCTGGATGAAGGGGCCCCGCACGCCCGGTCCACCCTGTGCATCGCTTGAGGTAGCTGGATAAAGGGGCCTCGCACGCCCGGTCCACGCTTCATATTGCCTGAGGTGGCTAGATGAAGGGGCGTCGCACGCCCGGTCCACGCTGCGTATTGCCTAAGTCAGCTGGATGAAGGGGCTTTGCACGCCCGGTCCACGTCAAATATTGTCTGAGGTGGCTGGATGAAGTGGCCTCGCATACCCGATCCACGCCGCATATAGCGTGATGCGGTTGGATGAAGGGGCCAAGCACGCCCAGTCTACGCTGCGTATTGCTTGAGGAATCTGGACAAAAGGTCTTTATACGCCCGGTACGAGGAATATTATACGATTTCCGGTATTTTGATGAAAGGGTTACGGACATCCATCCACAGTTCAAGTGACTTCTGACAAGTTAAAAAAAATGTACACCCTGCTCACGCCTTTAGTATTAGACCACTAAAATAGAGAGCTCAACACACCCAGTGCACACTTTCAGTAGTAATATTGACTAAAAGGGTCTTATAAGCCCAGATCAGTCGACTACGATCGACCTAAATGAAGTCGAGCATTGTAATATTTAACAAAAGTCAATTTCTATAGCAGGCAGTGATAACTGTTAAACCGTATGCTGACGGCTTACTGCTATGCACAAGATAACATTCGATAGTCGGCGTTTAGAGGAAGGCGTGGTACTGTGCCGCTCGATCTTTAATGGAAGTATGCTGTCAACGTAGGCAACGCCGCAAACAGATTATTTGATGCTGCTACCAACCGGCATTTTATAGATGCGCCTACAAGTAATTAAATATATTATTTCAAACATCACTCACGAAAATCTAGAAGAAACAATAATAAAATAAAAGATCCGCTACATAAAACAAGAACGTAAATTCAATAAAAAATAACAAAAATTTTTCTCGTAAGATCTCAATTTTTCCTTAAAATAATTTCACCCTAGGCGCGTAAGCACAGTAAATTCCAGTAAAGATAACAGCAGCGCGCGGCTCGGCGGCAGAGGGCAGGCGGTGATCTTTACGGTGGTTACGTCACTCGGGCGCATAGGGTATCCATTAATTTACGGACGGTGTCGGACAGAAACTTTTTAAATGTTATGAAAGAAAATAGCGTTTTTTTTTTGAATTCAGATAAATATTTTTATATTAAAGCTTACATATATATATATATATATATATATATATATATATATATATAGTAATCTTTCGGATTGGGATGAGTGTGTATGTTAGCACTTTTAAGTGTAACTGGCATACTCAACTTCATGTCTTAGTGCATTAGCTTTATGATATATGGAGTCTTGTTCGCTAGCGTCTTAGTAGCGTGCTACTATGATACGTTGGTGTTATTTTTTAGTTAACAACAATACAAATTTTGTTACCAAAGTCGATAGGGATCATGTGGATGTGTTGTGAGGGACCGCCATCCGTATGATAGTTGCATTGATGCTTACTGCTACTTGCGGTATTGCGTCTTGTGAGAGATCTACGGGTGTGCTGCGCCTAATTCAACGCATTCGTCTGGTTCAAGTCGATGGAGGTATGCGGGTGGTGGTGTCTGCTGGGATGTATGGGGGACCTTGGGATGATGTAAGCCCGACGGTAATCGTTTGATGCTGTTGCGTTCTACAGCATTGCGTCTCTGCGATGGTTGTTTGGTGGGACGCTATTCTCAATGGCGCTCTCTGCGTCTTGCTTTGACTTACACCTAAGTAGCTTTGCCCAAGTCGAGACCCTTCATTACGGGGCTGCAGACTGCCTGACCTCCATGATGTTGACGACATAATAATATATCTTTGTAACTTTCCCACCTTTGAATGATTGATTGAAGGCAATTGGTGGGTGAGACAAACATCGAAAATGCATTTACTCAACGTCAGTTACACAAACCCCTTCTGATGGCAAATTATTACTAACATCTTATAACTGCCTTTTGGCTATATCTGCGCTGTATTAGTTGGTGGAGCATATGTGTCGACCTCATGCGGATGATAGCTGGAGGAAGGGTCTGAGGGGACTCTCAAGGCTACGGCCGAAAGCCGCATAACGTGGATCCCCATTCCCTTGAGGTGAGCGGTAGACTCATGACACGCTCTGCGGCTAGTAGCCGTGCTGATCATGCAATTGTTGGTGATTCCGTACACTTACATCACGTCTGCAGGACGTGACGGCTTACAGAAGTAACCTAACCTAAACCTAAAATATCTCCTGTGTTCGACACCTAAACGCCCTTTATCAATTAAAAATAAAGACCAGCGATGGATTTGTACGTGCCGACAGCCAAAACCTTTCAAAAGTGGATCTTCCGTTGCTTTTGGAATATATGCACAACAATGACGTGTACAATGCTAGTGAAATAAGAGGAACCAAAAAACTCATGTCGTCTCGAGATTCCTATGTTGATACTGCTATTGGTTACGTAGAAGTTAAGAGAGAAGGAAGCAAATGTGTATTGAAAGCAAAAGTGACCCCAGAGCACCGGATTCGAACAAAAATATACACGGTTTCCATTACTATAAATGAAGACAGTGAAGTTATTGGAAACTTAATCTGTGATGACTGTGCTGCATCTGCAGGCGGCTGCAAACATGGAATTTTTTTGCACACTGGATCATCAAAAGGACTGAAGAGCCATCAGTTACATCTGTCTCTTGCTACTGGCAGAAACCCAGAGTCAGTGAAGCCATCACCAGTGATATGCCACTGCTAGCTTCAAACCTAGGAAAGAATAAGACTTTTGAAAAAATCCACTCCACTATAACTTTGCATAACATATTAGAAGAATGTTAAAAAAGAAAATCAACCTCTATGAAATCCTGTAATATGATTACAGTGTATTTCATATTTTGTTAAATTATTATAAGCAGTTTAAAGGTACAAGAGTAAGTTTTGATAGTTTTAAAATTTACAGTGCACATCTAGTCACAAATAAGTTAGTACATGAAATTGAACAGGCAACGAAAAACCAAGTGGATAGTGTTTTGTGACATTCTTTGAGACAGTGGAGAGTTACTGCCTCTAATATTTACATTACAATAAGATGCACAACTGCTAATGGTGTATTTTTCATATCAATCTATAATGAGTGGGTACAAAGTGCCAGAAACCCGAGCAATACAAAGAGGCAAACGTCTGGAGAACTTGGTAAAAAAAGGTAGAACTTGATGTCGAGATAAAGGACTGTGGCTTCATGCTGGTATCTGGCATTATAGGGGCTTCACCAGATGGAATCACTGACAACTATGTTGTTGAAGTAAAATGTCCATCAAAGGAATCTTCAATAAAAATCTATGTAAACGATAAAAATGAAATAATGGACAGATACGAGCCCAATACAAAATAATTCCCAACAAAAATATTCATAATTTATTAGAATATGAAGTACAGAGTGATGCCGAAAATTATGAGGTGAGTGCTCCACTAGTGGAAAAGCCTTTGTACAATTAAAATGTATCAGACAATAATCCTGAAACTGTTGAGTGTTTCGTCCAGTATGTCGAGTTATACTATCATGCCACAACGTCAAAATCTTAGAGGCAATTCCGGTCATCGTTGGACGGCCACTAAAGGCAGAATTAGTGGCAGTGTGGCGGCATGGCCTTAGCTGTCGACCGTTCGGCAATCATCGAGAGCCTTCGTCTTCACGGGAGCGACCGGCTCGGTTTTCCCCACCTCGAAAGTTGACCCGACCATCCGACGCCGTGAGGCCGCTCGTCCGCGCTCCGATCCACGACTTCGTAAAATACGTAGTAGTAAACGGTTATTTAATATATGTGGTGTGTTAATTATTCGCATCCTCCACATATAATTGGTGACCCCGCGTTCTTAGATACGTAAACAAGAGTGCAAACGTTTACGCGTGCGCCTGTGTCGTGTGCTCACTGCTCACAGAATAATAGGCCGTTTGTAATATTTTGGCGTAACCCTAGATACATAACGTGAGTCAAAACGACTCACGCGCGAAACGTTTTTATCTGTCTCTTTCCAACCATTTTATTTTTCGCGTTATCTGCCCGAGCCAACTCAGTACGCGGCCAGAGGTCCCATACGGTACATGTTTATTGCAGGTGAGCATTGTATATACGTAGATTTAGTGCAATCGTGAATCAAAATGACTCCACGTTAAGTGATTTGTGACATTTTGAACTTAACCATCCAAATGTTTTTTCGATTGTTGATTTTTTGAACATATTTTGAAAATATGTATTTGTTTTTGGTTTTACAGTTGATTATTCAGCTAAACCTACCGCGCGATGACTTTATCTCGGGCGTTGCAAGACTTTCAGATCGAAGAGTTTTTGGAAGAAGAGTCGGAAATTTTCGATGCCTGTAGTGAAGAAGAGGATAACTTGAGTGTAGATGACGTGCAAAGTGACTACGAGCATGATTTGATAAATGACTTTATTTTAGAAGAGGTTGCAGAGGGAAGCGAAAATTCTCTTACAACACCTCATCGTCCTCCAACTTCGACGTCAGATCGAATAATCGTATTACCTCAAAGATCTATAAAGGAAATAAGAAACAGAAGCAAATGGACTTCCTCTTGGAGAGTACTTTATGAAGGAGTTATCTAAAACTATCCATGGATCGTGTAGGAATATTAACTGTGATAAATGGTTTACATCCGTACCTCTGGCTAAATCTTTACTCCAGGAGCCATATAAATTAACTATAGTCGGTACAATTCGCCCGAATAAAAGGGAAATACCGTAAGAGCTAAAACACGGGCTGTCGGAACCTCTATGTTTTGCTACGGTAGCCACACTAACTTTACTGTCTTATAAACCCAAACCTTCAAAGATGGTTTATTTACTGTCATCCTGTGATGAGGACGGTGTTGTTAAATCTAGCTCCGGAAAACCAGATATGATTGAATTTTACAATCAAACAAAGGGAGGAGTTGATTCGTTCGACCAAATGTGCTGACTAGTAGGAAGACAAATAGATGGCCCATGGCGTTGTTCTACGGCATGATCAATATGGCTTTTATCAACAGCTACGTCATTTACTGCCACAACATGCTTTCCAAAAAGGAAAAACCCCTAAATAGACGGGCATTTATGATACAATTGAGCACAGACTTAGCAAAGCCATGGATGGAGAAAAGGCTTGAAATTCCTAATCTGAGTCGCAAATTACGCGAAAATATACAAAGTATATTACCGAATTCCCCTGCCACGAACTTACCAGGTGATGATGAACCTGCTGCAAAGAGAAGGAAATACTGCGCCTTCTGTCCGTGGAAACTAAGAAGAAAGACGCAGGCAGAGTGCAAGAAATGTAAAAAATCTGTCTGTGGAGAGCACAAAGCATTGACTTTTTTTAGACTGTATGTAGTTCCTATTTTGAGACTGATATGTTAATATTTTGATATTTTTAATGTTTTATTTTTATTTATTTTTATAATTTTTTTTTAAATTGTAGTAGATAAGTGATCTTTACCCAAAGAAAAATAAATACTCGTTTTAAGTTTCATTATTCCTAAGCATTTTAGTTTTTGTTTGTTTTTAAGTAAAAGAAAAATGGTACAAATTAATAGTTTTTTTTATTTCATTCCTTAGACTGGTGTAAAAACATTATTCTATAGAATAGATTACAATATTAAATAAAGCTAGCGCAATCGTGTCGAAAACAGTTGTGAGCCATATCGACCTCACGTTATGCTGTAAGGGGTATCAAATAACGTTATGTATCTAGGGTTAATTATCCCTTCCCGCTTGGAAAAGGCTCATAATATATTTTTACTAAATACCCGATACAAGGGCTTCGCTCTACTAAATTTATTTAAAAAAATGTAGGGGATCCACACGGCTCACACACACACGCCGTGCGCGGTTAGCGCCAACCATTTTGATGCACTCCCCCCGAAGGGAACGCTAATTCGGGAACTGGACCGTAGTCCACAGTAAAATAACTGGCGAACCGGTAAAAGAGGCTTGGTCCCCTGTTAGTGCGTAAAACATCGACCAAAATCGCGCATGTAATTGCGTGTAAACTCCATACAGAATACGAACGAATCCAGCTACAGTGAATGTACGTCACACGGTTTAGGCAAATAGGCACACTGGCCATAAACCCTCCGTTAGCGCCACCACCTGCCAGACCACCGCTCCTGCAAACGCGATGTAAGTTTATGGCATCATCACCAATTGCATGATCAGCACGGCTATTAGCCGCATAGCGTGTCATGAGTCTACCGCTTACCTCAAGGGAATGGGGTCCCACGTTGTGCGGCTTTCGGCCACAGCCTTGAGGGTCTCCTCAGATCCTCCCGCCAGCTACCACCCATGCATGAGGTCGACACATATGCTCCACCAACCAATACAACGGCAGATATAACCAAAAGGCAGTTATAAGATAAGAGTAATAATTCGCAATCAGAAAGGGTTTGTGTCACTGACGTTGAGTAAATGAATTTTCGATCATCTTTGTCTCACTCACTAACAAGTTGCCTTCAATCATTCAAAGGTGAGAAAGTTACAGAGATATATTATTATGTTGTTATACTAAAACATCGTGGAGGGCAGATAGTCTGAAGTCCCGTAATGAAGGGACCCGACTTGGGCAAAGAGAGAAAGAGAGCGCAGAGAACGCCATTGAGAATAGCGTCCCACCAAACAACCATCGCAGAGACGCAATGCTGCAGAACGCAACAAGCATCAATACGATTATCGTCGGGCTTACACCATCCCAAGGTCCCCCATACAACCCAGCAGACATCACCACCCGCATACCTCCATCGACCAGAACCACAAAAGAGCATCGAATCAGGCGCAGCACACCCGCAGATCCATCACAAGACGCAATACCGGAAGTAGCAGTAAGCATCAATGCAACTATCATACGGATGGCGCCCCCTCACAACACACCCATATGATCCCTATCGACTTTGGTAACAAAGTTTGTATTGTTGTAAACTAAAAAATATCACCAACGTATCATAGTAGCATGCTACTAAGACGCCAATGAACAAAACTCCACGTATCATAGCGCTAATGCACTAAGACATGAAGTTCAGTATGCTGGTTACACTTAAAAGTGCTACCAAACACACTCATCATCCCAATCCGAACGATAGACGACGCATCGCTATGCGCTACGACGCCGCCCACAAACGGTATGGGTGTGCGATGTCCACTTGAAAGCCGTATTGCTACAATAAACCCGCTTACCACCGGCACTAAGATGTTGTTAATTGTATACCTCCATCGACCAGAACCACAAGAATGCGTCGAATCAGGCGCAGCACACCCGCAGATCCATCACAAGACGCAATACCGCAAGTAGCAGTAAGCATCAATGCAACTATCATAGGGGCGGCGCCCCCTCACAACACACCCACATGATCCCTATCGACTTTTGTAACAAAGTTTTTATTGCTGTTAACTAAAAAATATCACCAACGTATCATAGTAACACGCAACTAAGACGCCAATGAACAAAACTCCACGTATCATAGCGCTAATGCACATGAAGTTCAGTATGCTGGTTACACTTAAAAGTGCTACCATACACACTCATCCCAATCCGAAAGACAGACGACGCATCGCTGTACGCTACGACGTCGCCCACAAACGGTATGGGTGTGCGATGTCCACGGTAAAGCCGTATTGCTACAACAAACCCGCTTATCACCGGCACTAAGATGATATGTCTAGGACACATCGGTTAGCGAGCCCAAGTTAACCTCGAACCATTTGCTCGTGAAGCAGCATACACGCCACCATAATATTCCTTTTCGAGTCCCTAATAAGGACTAGTCATTTTGCTACAGTACTAAGAGCAGTCGGTCACCCGACCACCCCATATACGAGTAATGCATCAACGAGACCTTCTATAATATTGCTTTTGTATTATAGACCTTACTTTCATAAGTCATTAATATATAGGACTTCAACCCACGATTCTACTATTGTAATGCAAATTCATCATAGAGATCTTCTATATTATTGCTTTTGTATTCTTGAGTTTATTAAAGTTTATTAAGTCAAATGCCTTTTGTATGCCGATGATCAAGTCATATTTGCGTCATCAGCGGCTGAGTTGCAAATGATGGTTACATTAATGAACTGGGAATTAAAAGAAAGGGGAATGAAAGTGAACGCAAGTAAGACGAAAGTGATGGTTTTTGAAAGAGAAGAAAGCAAAACGGTATCTGAAATAAGAATAGAAGGAGAGTTGATTGTGCAAGTGGATGAGTTTGTGTATTTGGGATGTGTATTTAGCAGGGATGGTAGATATGATAGGGATATAGAACGACGAGTAAATGCAGGGATAGAGTGAATGGGGCACTACACTCTATTATGAAGAACCAGAATTTGTCAAAACAGGCACGTATGGTAATTCATAATGCTGTGTTAGTCCCTACTTTAATGTATGGTAGTGAAAGCTGGGTGTGGCAGAAGAAGCACGAAAGTAGAATAAATGCTGTAGAAATGCGGTCTTTAAGGAATATGCTAGGGTGTAATCTGAATGACAGGGTGAGAAATTGCGTGATAAGAGATAAATGTGGTATGCAAGATGATGTTGTGACCAGGATTAAGAAAGGAATGCTTCGGTGGTTTGGTCACGTAGAAAGAATGAATGAGGAAAGAGTGACAAAGCAAATTTATATGGCAGATGTGAATGGCCGAGTCGGGAAGGGACGCCCTAGGAAAAAGTTTATCGACCAAATTGGCGATATTTTGAAAATGGGCCACGTTAGAAGTACCCTTAACCGACGAGCATGTATGCGTAGATATATGGATGTAAAGGAGGCGAAAGAGGTATGTCAGGATCGTGCCAAATGGAAGTCCGTAATCTCTGCCTACCCCTCTGGGTGACAGGCGTGAGTGTTTATGTTTTTTTTTATTATCATAAGTTCCTAATATAGGACTATTCATTGTGCTACAGTACTTCAGGCATTCGGGCTCCCGACCACCCCATATATCGCTGGCCCCGGGCAATATAGCGGTAACCGCCTGTTACGCCCTTTTTAATGTTATTTGATTTTTGGCTTGTCTGGGTATCAATCTATCACTCTTATTTTTTTCACGTTTTTTTATTAATATTTCGCTAGAATAAATGACAATAACAGCTTTATTGTATGGAAATTTATTTAACGACTAAGTATGTATTAGTGCATTACTCTAAGAAACTTACACAAAAATTCGGTGAACATCTTTACACTAAATTTCTAAACAAAGAGGAACAGTAATATATTTTACCGCGTTTTTGAAAATAAACTTGTTACATCAATAAAATGTAGACACTTAATACGAAGTAATCACAAGAGATTTATTCTGCACAAGCTAGTACGCCTTTTTTCATGTAAATTTATTTATTATAACCCCGTCGACGTAAAGCCATGTCACGCTGAACGCCATCCCTTTCACTCCTACTCATAAATGATTACCGCTTGCTTTCTAGCACCATGTTTAGATAAACAATTGATATATATATTTTGCTTTTCCAACACCATAGCGCAGGACACACAGCAGCAAGCGCAGATTTAAAGAGAATCTTGTCACTCCGTCTATAGTATGTTATAATGTGTTTGAATCTACAAACCTTACAACACTAAGTGACGCAACGA